ATTTCAAATAAATCCAGCTGTTAGTTGTTGAGCTGTCAGCTAATTAGTAATTCTCATTACTTTTGCACAGCACTGTACTTGATAACAGTAATGGAGATTTTGAGGAAATCATTTGTAATAATGTTTGTATTAATAAAATTAAAGGGTTCTGTTATTAGTGATTGTTAAAAACTGACAACATTTCGATTTAAACTATCGCCTATCAAAAATTGTCGAAACTTTATAAGTAATAACAAACTTGGCATGTACATAAACTATCATGTTACAGTAATTCAAAACGTTTGCCGAACAAAAATAGTTTTACTCGATCAGCATTGTTAGTGTCTTATAAGAGTAGGAAAGTTGTCTAATAAACGGTTGCTTGTCGAGCAATACAGTTTGTTATGTTATATGAAAAAATGGAATTATGATTTACACAACAAATAATAAAATTTACACGCAGCTTTCTTTACGTGTCTCACAGATTTTAATGTAATGAAGATTCGCAAAGAGAAAGTTGTTTTTAAAAAAAAACAATCCTTGTCCACTTAGCTTGTATTGATACATTACTGTTAAATTTGTAACTTCAAAGTATCTGTGGATTAAATTTTCAAAAAAATTTGTCATAAAACTTGCCGCATGTAAAACAGTGCCAAATAACATTACGTGCTTGAAGCCAGTTTTTTATTTTCTCAATATACTGTATATTACTGGCAATACTTGTATCTATTCCGGTAAAGCTTTCAAAACCAATCGAAGAATACAAATGGCGGTGCGTATCAAATGCAATTTTCACAAAGTTTTTACGTATAAGTTAAACACTTGGCGGTAATTAATGTTATTTATGATAACAAATTGTACTTGAAATAAAAAGTCAATGAATTTTTTCAACGCGTTTTGACATTTAAATTTATGCAAAAAAGCCGCGTCTCGGTTTTGGTTAATGCATGTACAAAATATAAATTGAGTAGCTCTAAATTGTTAACGAAAATTGTAAATGAGCTAGCTTTTGTTATTGTAAATAGTTTTGATTAGTACCAGAAGATTAATTTTTTAGTATAAAAAAAGCCTGCGTTTTTTATCAAGTTTACTTATTCGAATTCTAAACGCCATTGAAGCATAAGAAAATTATATTATGCAACAATATTTTAAACATAACTGGATGCTTTCAACCCAACTTTTTGCAATTGTTTACTCTGCAAAATTTTACTTAATAATATTTTTACGGACCGTCATTTTTTTTTTGTAATTATGCAGACATTGATATAGGCAAAATTTAAAGTGTAGACGTCTGATACAACACTGGTAAGCATCCAGAAACATTTCTCAACTTGAGTTCACTATCTCTGCCGACACACTAACCCATTACTTTTTGAAAGAGAAAACTTTCCTGAATTGTATAGATCAAGTGAGACAGAAACAACATTTGAATACTCGTTTGAAATTTTAGATAGGCGAGAAGTGAGCCAACAATAGATCTAAAGAAGTTTTAAATTTTCAATATTACTATGTAAGAATAACGACTTTACTGCAAGGGACAAAATCTGACTAAACAATAATAACCAACTTGATAGCTGCTCGAAAATCGGAAAATTTATCTTCCGATTATTAATTCCGTCATTCAAGTCAGAACTGGGACAGACGTACAAGAAAACTAAAAATAAGAAAGACGTACCAATATTATTTGCTCAAATACTTTGCAGGTAGCTTACGTAAAAATAATAAACTCCATTCAAGACAAATTAGTCTCAGGGACAAATGTATAGACGGTATAATATTATTAATTCACTTTCCTGGAAAAAGTCTCCGGAGACTCTAGAGTTGGACAGTTAAAAATAAACAATTATGTATCTACTATTATTCATGGTTGCATTAGCAAACTTGCAATTACACAGAAAATATTTGCCCCATTCTTGTACTTGCGTTTCTCAAATGATTAGCATTAGCATTGTTCCTGCTAGACATATAGGCAAGAAGAAGAAAAATTTTACTTGTACACATATTGTGGCGCCCGATTGCTGACATACGTATATTGATTACAACTTTACAATAAATTTTATGCTATTTGTAATAATTGTCCTATTTTATGGCTTTCTTTTAATTAATAAGTTGTTGACTTGGCAAACTGCTAATAAATACTAAAATTTAATAAGAAGTTTATAAATGGTTGTGCATTCGTTATTATTTTACAAAAACAAATTAACAGCAAACAGGGATTGCAAACTACTCACCTTGACACAACTTATGAAAATTTTTCATAATAATAATAATAATAACAATAATAATAATAATATAATACTGGAATAAATGTAGAATGCCGGAACGCGGAATAAATGTGAATAGAACTACGATTAAAAAGTTGTCAATGGCAAATAAGTATACACTGTGCATGTAAACAAAGAACTGTAAATATTGTCCAATTTTTTGGTCGGTAGTACATCCGTACAAATTACACCGACTGTCACTAAATATAACACATCACATAATAATAACGTTTATACTGTACTTTTTACGTTAGTATAAGTCAAGTTAAATCGGACAACGCACCGTCATTGATTCTCGTTACATCTGCAATTGCTAGTTTATTTCATACAGTGAGATTACCCAAAAATAGAAATTATGATACTCTGAAAATGTAATGGGCTGCTCTATTTTAAAGTCTCAAAACGACACGTGCAAGCGAAAACGGAGAATCGTACGCGTATTCTAGTTACGTATTATGTCTTTGGTGCATCATTTGTTGTAGCAATGAATGATGGTCAGCTGGCAAACCCCGATGAAATGCTAGCATCCGGTATTTTTAATGATGCATCGTTCAAAGATGAAGAAGACGCTTTTGCTGAGACGGATAATATCAAGAAGCCAGTTTCACCATCATCGACAAGCCTATTAAGCTGGGGACGGAAGAGAAGAAAGCGGAAGAATGTTTGAATAGGAGGTGTACAAGCACTACTTTATAGGATCAGGATTGCGGATATGATGTGCTCTTGATGATTCTGTTGTTCACTGAAGTGATCAAAAAGCAGCCTAACAAGGATTTGCCATGGACAAGGTGAGCTAGATTCCGGTTGATGAGAACAGACACGTATACCAGTTACTCCTAACAAGCGTATTAATATCTGTTACAATTATTCACTCAATTTCTTTAACTCAGATTGGTAGATTAAAGAATGGACCAGAGATACAGTGACATTCGTGACCCCAAATACAGTCTTCATCTCAACAACGTTATCGCTGTTTCCCTTTGCTCCTCCAACTCACATGGATTATCTACCTTCTCGTTCACCCAACCATTGGTTATCGGTTGTTGAAGGGAGTAAACTTAGTACTTGATCATTTACGCACTTATTGGTGAAGCAACAACTATTATAGTCACAGCAACGTCATATACGTATGATCTCTAATCTTCATTTCCAATCGCCTCTTCAAGTAGATTTTTCAAAGACACGTGTTCAAAGTTTTATCGCACTGCTCCAATAATTGACATTCTCGAGTTATGCTTCCGTGGTCCAGTACGTCCAGTTACAATGATTCTGATATCTATTTGCGGCAGTTTCCCAGAATGTAGAGTCTTCTCTCACAAGGTTCTTGATGATTCGTATTGTTAGAGATTAGTAAACATACACATATTTTTTCTATTCCGATACTAAACAAAACTCTTACCACGACGCGATCTGTTGCTACAAGCGAGTGCATTTTACTAACAATCTTGCCACTTATGAAGTTTTTGCGTTCAAAAATGTCAACTGCTCCTCTGCGGTATCTCTAACGTGGATCGCAAAGCGAGGCTTGATAATAAAAGGAGACTGCTACATGATATAGATACATTAATACAAATTCGAATAAAAAATTCGTTCGTTTTGCAATTGTACTTGCAATGAAAAACCAGAACCTCTGTAACTTTCCAGCCAAGCCAAGTCTCTTCTTGAAACATATAGATTGCAATTTTGTAATCCTCCGATCGTATTACTCTTGGGAGAAGAAAGAAGGCGGGGAATGCACGTGGCATTTTGTGAAATTAAGTTCATGACGTCGATGGAAGGTACCAAACCATGTGCCTTGTCTACGATTGCTTCAATGTTCTGAATACGAGAAGGAAATAAAATAATCAGCATATGTCCGTCCTTAATCGTCGACAAGGAAAGATAAGAAAGGCTTTAACGCATACAGGACAATAGATTATCCGTCCGCGAAACGATTTCTTGCATATCGTATGATTCTACTGTTTTCGTGGTTTCTCAGACTGTAACAAGATAATGAAATATAGACAAAAGGTAATTAGCCTTATTCAGTAATGTGCACATCTCTGTGTATCCGCGAGTTAGAAATTAACTCAACCAGGAAAAAGAATGCAGTTTGGTAGAGGTCGATTATCTATTCCTCAATGAGCAAGCAGTAAAGGTTACATTGCTTACCAAGCGACTGCCCAATGTCAATGTTGAACATGCAAAGTTATTCGATCCAGTATAGTTGACATCTCATCATCGCATTTATCTCAATAGGTAATGAATTCATAAGACCCAATTCATTGTTTTCCGCACGCCTTCTTCAAAGATGACAAATTTGCTCTGTCAGACTACATTTAAGCGATTTCTTCGATATCGACAGGAGTAATGTAAGCAACCGTGAGGCAGAAGCTATTGGATAATACAGCCTGCACTTGACGACCACTAATGCTCATCACTAGTAATAAAAGCCATCAGTAAAAGCATGGTAATTGTGTTAGCGATGCTTCAGGTTTCTACTCATCTTTTTTTGACAGTGAAACAACGTTTACTTAACATACTTGGCCGATCAAAAGGTGTTGGTCCTTCCACAAATTACCAGGAACGTGACATATAATCGAAATAAATAATAGATATACGAAGGATTGGGCAACATCATCGGAGAAAAGATTATGCTGATGTAACTAAGTTCATTCGAAAGGGCAGTGGGATCAGCTCTTCGTGTTGCTTACCGTTTTCATGTAAGGACTGACGATTCCTATAAAGTTCTGACCACCCTATAATCGATCGAATTCAGTATGAATGATTGGTTCGTCATGTTTTAGAGTATTTATCCTCCAACATCTTGACGTACCTTCTGGTATACATCTTTATATAATTTTCTAGTTTTTAGAGAGTAGAATACGGCTTTAATGTCTATATCACTTCGAATTTCTCCGTTTGCCATACAACTCACTTAATCTCAATCTTCTATGCGAAGATAAGCGATTCTTACAACACGGGTTTGTGTAACAGTATAAAGTTAACTTTAACTTGGCGTTAAGATAGAACATTCGTTGAATACTTGTATGAAGGTAATTTAGATCGGAAACGCGCAAGCTTAGACTAACAGACAGTTAATATATATCATTACACCATTTGACGTCATAGTGCCATCAACGTTAGAAGCTAAATCAACGCGAGAAATTAAACAAACGGTAGAAATTAAACAAACAACGATACAATGTGTTATATATTTCGCGGATAAGTTCTTCACTAGCCCAGAGTCCTCTGAGAAGCGATTAGTTAAAGTATTCCAGTGATAAATCTTTCTTTTTATTGGTAACATTCATCAATTCGGGAATGTTATACACATGAACCTATCTATTGATAGGTGATCAAACAAACTACAAGTCTTTATCGTCAAACTACCACAAAATTGTTTTATGCCTTAAAACAAAGTGATACAAAATTTTCCTATTTCTACATTTAATAGTAATCTCATACTCGCTTCGCTTGCAAGTAATAACATTTGATAAAATCGCACCACACATAAGAATGTTGTCATAATCGCTTATTATTACCACATGCATCTTAATATTACCTTATAAATTGCTTACTATTACCATATACATCTTAATTGATTTAATTTTCATGAAAATCAAAATTGCGCATCTGTTGCAAGTCCTAGCGCTGCTGATTTATAAAATACATCGTCGTCTGTTGCAAGTCCTAGCGCTGCTGATTTATACAAATACATCGGCGTCTGTTCGTTCCGAGTCCATTTTCATAGCATTGACCAAGATTGTTATTGTGTTCTACGTGTCCTTGGGATGCTGTCATGTGATATAACTCGAGGATTGTTTGCATGTCTTGTTCTACTTCAATCCCGTTACGATACATATAACGAAAATAAAATTGCGCCCTTATTACTCAATTTCTAGCGGCTGTATGACATTGTACGGCCCAGTCTGTCTCGCATTACGTTAATGCCTTCACTATAGCATAATCAAAGAGAAAATATCGTCCTGAGCCCTCGTCGTTCGTCAATGCCTGTCTCATAACAAGCTCATAAGCGACATAGCGCCTCGGCATCTCCTGGTTGGGCAGTCCTTCAAATTCGTGTGATAACCGCTTTGGATATGTAGTATGTGCGGTAGTATGTAATAAGTCGTGCGGGCATATTCATATGTATAATGTTGTAGGCATGTCTTATGCGTGTGTGGTATGTCGTCCCCTCGGTGGGAAACTTGTGTATTTAAGTGTTTTTCTGTATATAATAATTACACCATTCAATACAAAACAGATTGTTATTGATGTTGAAAACTGGAAGTGATATGCTCCCAGAACGTTCCATACTTTCATCTCTATTTCCATTCAATCCAAATATATCACTTTTGACCGAACAAACGACAATCTAGATTTACTTTGCATACCATTTAGCCCAACAACAAAGAAAATACAGAAGCAATCGTGTCATTTTCGATTATATCCGATACCGCACTGGTATTGGCATCAACGCGCGCGTCGGGAATGAATGTTTACTGCGTATATTGACCATGTGAATTTTCAAATTAAAATATCCAATCAAAGCGAGCGCTTAGATTTTATGAATATGATGGAACATATCTCCCCATTTAAACATTACTCTTGCATTCAAGCATCCAATTTTGGATCTAATCGCCCTTACGTTGAAAAGAGACAATGAGCTCAACCCAGCCTACTGCAAAATACTTGGTAACACAGTTTCCCCAAGGAAGATACTATGTCAAGTAGCGATACATCAAACCAACATAATTGGTACTTTATAGAGATAAAAGACTGCATTATCTTCCCATCAGTACAAAAACAGAAAGAATTTATCTCCGGCGTGTTAAATTGATACGACTAGAAACCATCGTAATGCAAGCATGGACGTCTTGTATATGTGTTTTTATGACTGTCAACTGAACTTCTCGCCGGGTTTTAAATGTAAACCGTTGAGCTCAAGACCATTCAGTTTTCCACTCGTGTGTGAGTATATCAACGACGACGCTTTGCGAGTTCTCCGAATATTTGTTTGGCGACTGGTTGAACACGTGTAACTCCTTTATTAGTGCAAAATAGGCAAGTACTCTGAATTCTTCACAGCGGACGACATCGTCTTCATGCAAATAACCACATGTTATATACAGTCGGCTGATGTGTGTACGTATGTATATTCACGTTATCAATCATCATAATTGTGGTTCTAGAGCTGACAACCCGTGGCTGGTACATAATCGTGCGAGTTACACACCCTAGAGCCAACTTTCGGTTATGTAATCCATGCTGTGCTGACATGTGTTCACAAACATTCTGTTTGTGTCCAACTCAATCTATTTTTCGGATGTCTGAGAATAGTGAGCATTTAAAATTTTCGCACAAGGAGTTGTTCGATCGAAAATTGCCTTAAAAATGTATTCAACTGTTGAATTGGTAATAAGCTTCATATCTCTCTAATGCTAACATATTACACATTACATAATCAGCGTCTTTCTTGTTGTCATCAACGACCGTGTTTATCTGCATATACACGCAAAGTTGACATTAATTATATTAGCGAAATATACCCCAAATACAGTTTATTGACTGTTATGACAATATATAGACATATCATTACGTATCGTATGTTCTTAAAAAATTAAACTAAAGTTTTTCGACCACGAATTAGAATGGTTTAATAAGCAAAAAAAAACAAACAAAACAAACAAGAAACAAGCAAACAAAAACTAATGACTGCTGCACTATTCAACAACCCCAACCTAAATCTGCTCTCGCCCTTTTGTGGCCTTTGTTGGCTGCCGCTATTAACAACTCCATCATTGCCAAAACGTCCGCATTTACTCCCACACTATATCTATAACAATTTGCCAAATTATACTGGCCATCCGAGTTTCCTTGATCTGCAGACTTTTTATACCATTCAAATGCCTGTCTGTAGTCCATCTCCACTCCAATACCGTTCCGGTAGCAATGACCGAGATAACAATATGCGTTCGTATCCCCGTCCTCTGCCGCTTGGCGGTATAAATTGAATGCAATGGAGTGGTTTGTTGATGTGCCTGCACCAGTTTGATAAAATGCACCCAACAAGCAGCGTGCATCAGTTACTCCCATTTCTACGGCCAAACGGCAAAGTTCAAACGCCTTTCTTTCGTCCTTCTCTACACCTATACCGTGATAATAACATACACTCAATTTATAATGGGAATCCGGATGTCCTAATTGAGCTGCTCTTTCATAGGCTAACGCGGAATATTCGTCGATCTCGCAATTCTCACCGACACGGTATAAAGCTTCATCCATCCCTCCTTGGGCTGATTTTTCGAAATATTCTTTGGCTTTCTGTGGATTTTTTTCGACACCAACACCGTGTTCGTAGCACCAGGCGAGACAGAATTGTGCCAGTGGGTATTCCTGGTCAGCAGCCAGAAAGTAAAACTCGATCGCTTTATTATAATCTCTGGGCACTCCCACGCCAAATTGAAACGACCATCCAACTTTGTACTGAGATATAGCCAATCCAGTACAGGCAGCCCTGTAGTAAAATTCAAACGCTTTTGTAAAATTTTGTTCGACTCCAATAGCGTACGAGAATGTATCGCCTAAACGCTGTAACGCCGGTGCATATCCATTGTCGGCAGCAATTTGTAATATTCTTAGCGCTTCACCAAAATTTCCCGTAGCTTGGAGCTGAGAGGCGCGGTTAAAAATGTCAATTGCAGATTGAGCCATTTTTTGGTTATTTGGTAAAAGTCAAGAGGTCTTATTGCTGGTGAGAGGTGTATTTGTGAGAGTTGTTGTTGGAAAATTATTCGCTTGTGGCAATTTGCGTGTTTGTGAGATTTGCTGTTGGAGAAGGTCCCATATATATAAGTGTTTTTGTCGTATGTCATGTACAAGCTGCGGCTTCAGTCCATAAATTACCGTAAATTTCATTATGGTCAAATAAAAGTAAAGAGTCTTTTTATACAATGGCTATTGAGAAATATTAAAGCTTAAAGCCATCTTAAACATACCCATTCAGAGAAGACTGACAGCTACGCTATGCTTAATTTGTCATTTGATTGTTTAGCATTGACAATAGAACGTTATTTCTGATTGATAATCGCTAAGGTTTTTGGGGCTATCAACAAATAATCAGTTGCCATGTTTCCATTCGCTGCATTGTCTGCCGAAATGGTTGTGATTTCAATGGCGAAAAAAGCATTATATTTCGACAAGTTACAATTAAACCCTGTTTACTGTGGCTGGGTTACAATTGCATGTGCCATTAACAATAGGACATGCACCTGAGGTCTTTACCATTTGATCACCCAATACATTATCGATGTTCAATGACGCGATGCTTACAATACGTAACTTTAACATTGTTGATGCTATCATAAATAGACACCTATCCTGAAGAGGATGAGTGCTAGCCATAAACGAAAAAGGAATAAAGAAGCGATAGAAAAAAAAATAGTTATACCGTCATTTATATCCATTTCTGACGTTGTATTTAAAATGAATGGAAGCAGGTCTCAACGTCAATATGTTTTTATTTTAAGAGAAACTCGGAGTACCTGTTATACCAGAAATGGGCAATGGCGTACTTTACTAACAAATAAGTGTCTAAAATAGAAACCTGTATCTTGAAAATCAGGAACTAATTAACAATATCCGTCTTTAATTGTAAATGGTATCTCTTGAGTATGTATAAAAATCCATAGATAGTGTAGTTATTTATTCATTGTTCATGTTTTTTTTTTTCATTAAAATACATATATTTTATTTACAATAACATTATCTCAAACGGGTTCATGCGGAAACAAGCTCCGAATAGTTACGATCAACGAATCATTCCCCCCGATTAAAGCACATCTCATGGTAAAAGTATTAAAGTTGCCTAAAAGTTTAAACAATTGTCTATCGTAAACAGCTATTGACTGTAGGAACAATAAAGTCAATATTATCAAAGTTTCTGCACACATGTTTGCCATCAGGATGTGTAAGATACGTTACTCTACATTACCGTTCTCCATTCGAGGGGTCTTTCCCGTTGCTGAGTCGCGACCTGGTTATTATATCTTGAAGAGTATGGTGAGTCATCTAAAATGTCGTGGCAAGCTTCTCATTCTGAATGACTACCTTCAATAACAACATTATTAAGCTCTTGTCTTTGAGCAAAGTGTATACGCTGCTTATGAATGTTTATTCTGTTATATGCACAGTTTCAAACATCTTGATAATAAACTAATGGTTGTCTTACGCTTTCGTCACAGTTACAGTTTTAGCCATGTAACTCGGATTTAATAGATTTATTTGTTCATATATTGCTTTTTGTTGGAATGATTGTCGGCGAAATGAACCGGATCTGCATTTTCCTAATTGTCAGTTCAGTTAACCGTAATATATCGATGCTCGGCGTTTTATTTGATGTTATGCTGTGTATATGAAACAACCCAATGGTGAGAAAAGAACCGACCATCTATTGCTCTCGAAAACCCTATTGTTCGATGTTTGTGGAAAGCGTAATTTATACGCTTGTACAAAATGTTTCTAGCAACATTTCTGAACTATGCCGGAAGTAGATTACGCGTAAGCATCATATAATAGCTAACAGATACACTCTAAACGACAAAAGGGTTGCTCTATCAAAGGTTCAAGTGAAAAAAAAATAGAGGAAGAATACCGCGAATGCTTTGGCTTTAGAATATAACGAGCACGTAAGCTGTTTATTATGTATAGATACAATCCTTCTATTCGACTGAGCTTTTATTCCGATAAAGCATTACTTTATCCTTCATTCTCTCATTTGGTATGTAACCATACTTGCTAACTTGCAAATGGCTGGTGCAAGGGCTTCATACGGACCGAGTTATTCCCACCAAAACATTATATAACGCACTGGTCCGTCTTATCCCTCCGTAGATCTCTTGATTATCAATTACGACCCGTATCAATCTAACATGGGGAATTCTCATTTCAATACAGGGCCTGCGTATTGGTCTTGACGGGCTCCTAATTCTCCTAAGGCCTGTTCCATTTCTCCACGGAGATCGTGGGCAGTAGAGTTAGCCAAGCCATGTTTTAGTCCTTTAACGTCATTGCCCAACGTTTCTAGCATGGCATCCAATAAGCGCCTTTGGCCGTTCCAATCATACACTTCCAAGTTGATTGAATGTATCGTCACTCTTTAACTTTGTCATAAAACCACTCTGTTTATCAAGCAACTTAGTCTTCGATAATCGAATTCATTGATTCGCGCTAAGGTTTACTCTGTGATGTAATATTGTCTTTGGAATTGTAGGTAACGTCTTATCCATTTGAAGGTTGTTTGTGACTGGCGGAATAGTCATGGTATTGTTGACGTTGCAATCGATATCGCATTCCCTTCATTAGCAGAATTTATCGTCGTTCTCTCGAACGTGGTGACGCTCTCTCTTTTTCGCCCAGCTTGGTAAACTTAACTTCCATAATTCTCATCTCGAAGAAGAGAGCCGGCCGTGAAGCTGTTGCGGACACTGCAAGTGCGTTATACTGGGAGATATGGTCTTCGTGCTGTGGATTTATTGGATTATTATAATTATTGACTCTAAAAATATGTCAACAATTACGTAACTTGAGAAAGACCAAACGGTATCGTGAGCCGTTATCCAACTAAATGAATCATGAGTCAAACAATAAAATGCGCTCTTGAATTATTCTACCAATGACAGTCAACGGGCGAAGCAGAAAAGAGCTGATCCTGGTCATTTTTTAAAATTACAATTTTGCATATCTGTTTCTCGTGGAAACAGTGTTGCATCAGTTATGTAAATGAGGATAATAACTATGAATAATTGTTTCAATTCATTTTGTGAAATTAGTAAGATAAAAGGTTAGGGTTAGGGTTAGGGTCTTTGCGCCAGATCCTATACTACTTAACACTGTAACCAGTAGAAAGCGAAATCACACCAAGTGAGTAAATGTCGTCAAGTGAGCAGTGACGAATTTTTAAATCGTTCCGGAGCCGTATACGCTGCTAAGCCACATACTGGATTATCTGACCTTGTCGGTTCGTGAGAGACAAAAATCGATCCTCCATTTTCATCTATTACAATATGCCCTGAAAATCCGACATTTAGTAAGTAACGACATTGAAAGAATAAAGACTCTGGTAATGTTGTCATTTTACTCACAGTGAAAGCCGAAAATCGATAATGAGGTATTCTAATAGCAGCGTAAGTAATCATCCAGTACCCGACGAAACTTCAGAAATTAGATGTGTGCGACATTCCCTGTTCTCTCTCCGTGAATGAAAGATATCGAATGGTAGTCCGTTTGGCTAACTGAAACTATCTGATACCAGTTAGTTTGCCCGCATGCGACTTTGAGCAAACGCCTAGACTGCCACCCACGTGCTGCATACAAGTTCCCTATTGATAAATTGTAAACTAATAAGCAGGGACTCATTATATATCTCTCTACGTCTCAAGAAATTGTTAACATCTAATCAAAAAATACAAACCGCTCAATAGCTAGCCTCAACCATTGACTCTTCGCATCATCATCATCATCACCACCAGCATATTTCAAGTTTTTTCAGTTCCTCTAGTTTGGCCAACTTTTTTCCACATCAGACTTTGAATGTTTTCTTCCTCAATCGTAAGTGGCCTTTGCAATTGTATGATGCAAATGCAACTGATATATCATTAACACATTGTCTAGGCGACACATGTAATCTGTAAGCAGGCGCTGAACACGAACGCATTCAGCTCGATTCCCACTTGATTAGGGAACGGTGCGAGTTGGTTTTGCTGAATGAACACCTTAATTGGAATCAACAGAAAGGATTAATTAGCGATTGAAGGCAATTAGGGTGGTAATTGCGCATAATCACAACCAACAGCAATAGTGTGTTAGGAGATTTCGTCACATTATTATGATTCCTACCACGACTCTACCATTTATCTTCTTCCACTTACCAATAAATAGTGCATGCTGCATGCAGCCATACTAATTTCGGCGTAAGTATTTTGAACGTAGTCATTGAACTTTGGAGCCCACACGAATAGATGAAAGGTTCCTAAGTCATCAGGGTAAGTATAAGCGCGCTGAATATGAACATCAAATATTCAATGTATTCATCCGATCTTTTCTTTTCCCTATAGAATTTCGAGATCTGCATCTTGAAACCCTGTCCACTTTAACCTACCAAAACTGTTATTCGATTATATACATCCTGTAATCTACACTTCTGGCGGTTAATGCAATTATCCTTGACCATCCCGCTGAACCGTGATTTGCGTATAGCCATCGGGAAGTTCTTTCTTCATGCGGCTTATTTAGATAAAGGGAAAGAGTTTCAGCAATAAGGAGCGCCGAAATTCTGCGCTCCCGGCTTCCTGGGAACGATTGGGTCAGTATGTTGTCTGTTGGTGGGAATAGAAGACTGCTAAAACAGTATCAACGACAAACAAGAATAATAGAGAAAAGCCCACACAAACCACGTGATAATATGTTTCACATTTCTCATAGTGCAGACGCACATTACCACCCACAATTATTATAGACTTTACAAACGCGTTATTATTACAAAACTCGTTAATAATAAATTACAAGCACACCAAAGTAGGTACATGCCTTATTGCCTATTACTCTTCGCCTTAGCAGGGCATTTGAACGTTACCATCTATTTTGTCAGGCAAGATCAGGTGGTGGTTTAAAATATGCTACAATGTGCAATTTCATGATATCGACAGTAACACTTTATCTGTCGATGAATTTAGACAAGAGGAATTGAACATAATATTGGTTGCTAAAGTAATTAGAGGGACTGATATATGTAAATGTTGTCCGTATTTGCTCATCGATCAGATTAACCCAAGTCGTTTAATGTTAATTGTTTGTCCTTTTTCAGATAACTCGACGATGGAGATAAGAGGCGTGATATCGAACAGAAGCTATAGAAAGGCTTAGAATGCTGGAAAGTATATATTAATGCTGCAGTTATTATGTATGCAAACAGTAATACATATGTCGCTCGTGCATTATCTTGACGTAAGCGTTTGGTTTATGTTCTACCTAGACAGCATGAATCTCTTAAAAATGTGATTAGGAACGTGAGAAGAGACTCTTTTCTTTGAGTAGCAGGCCGTCAGATACTCGTTCACAGGAAATTACGTCGCGACCACCGGTTTTTCCAAATCGTCAGCTCGTCTCAATCAATCTCGGCATTTTGCAAACCACTTTTTCGTTTCCATGATGACAGGGTCTGTCTGACAGATGAGCAAAAGTCGGTTCAGAAAGAGGTCAAGAAACAGCAGTTAGCGTCCATGAGAAAATTGAGGCCCTGAGACTGAATACGGTGTTGCACTTCGTAGTTCCAGACGACTACAGTTTCGAAAACGTCCCAACTCGCAATGCTTACGATTTCAGTTGATCCACTGGACGAGAGGTTGGCTAGCACACCCTCACAAGACTACAACTATTGGTGGTGATATTGTTAGTCCCGGTTAATTCCACGTTTATATTGATTGGAGTTGTAATGTGGTTCGTGCAATGAAAACAATTAACTTAATACACTTTATCTTCTTTTTTGTTTGGGTATAATTAGGTTCCTAAATCATAACTCTAATCAAACGAAACATATTTCGTGAGACGTGTCATTTGATCTCAATATTGTGACTATAAACGGAATTATGTGTTATCGACATACTAGACTATGTTCATCCCTTGGAAGGATAATTCGATTTTTTGGAAGGTACCTATATGTCCGTGTATTATCAAACGTTGTCAACTATTTTTACATTTGAAGAACTACAAATTGCTCAAACTCTTCGATTACACAAATCCAGACTTGGAAAACTGTCTTTCAGGAAGTTTTTTAGCACGTAGAGGGTGGATATGGGAATATCTTGAATTCAAAGACTTGGAGAATCAGTTGGGAGTAACATATATTCATGACGTGTAAGTGGATAAAAGAAATTTTTATTGATAATACATAAGATTGCGTGTTCTGCCGTCTGTTTATACCAAGCCGTGTCGCAAAGTCTAACCCACACATTCTAATAGGGCTGCGTATGATGGCATTGAACATTTTGAAGGCATGCATGAGCGCGCAACACTTTACCTGATATTGACCTGGATGTGGAAAATCAAAAAAATTAGAATTCGTACCAACGACATGTGTCTCACGAGAAAAGAATGTGTGCAAAGGAATATGCAAAAGCAAACTACGCCGCGGCACATGCTATCTGTCAGGAACCGGATAAGAGAAAGACAAGCAAGAGCGTTCGAATTCACTTTTTACCATACATTGATCACCATTTTCAACCACACCAGTCCAGCCAGTGCATTTAGTTGCTGTTGTACCTTGGTTCCCCTTTTACCGAATCCCGAATGCAATTTACGTTTTCATGCCAGACATTTTAAAATTTACCCGCTACACCGGACAGAATACGTATTGGGAATCTAAGCTGGACTGAAATTTACTTGGTGCGTAAACGAACGACAAAGTTTAATATGATGTTTTGAAAGTCAGCATAAGCTGCAGCAAATTTGAGATTGGTCTCTGTTATCAACGAGGCATAAGCACAGACAGGCATATCCAGAATGCGTAAGTAATCAAGGGTACACTCCCTTGAAAAAATCAGCGGAACAAGGGGGCGGCGAACAGTAGCAATACACGCAGCTTGGATTGGATTGATCACATAGGGGACCGGAGAAGAAGCATCTAGACATGGGTTGGATCTATCGCGGGCTCACGTTATTCTTGTAAAGCGCGCAACCATGGGATATTTTGTAATATCCCACCCTCATCTGTAAATCAACGCATTCATATCCGAATTTATCAAGGGGAAAAGAGGCGTAAACAATCTTATCATCAAACCTCCTTGCATTTCGACTGCTTACGCATGTGACTGTGGAGCAGGAATCGGCCGCGTTTCCAAGCATTTCCTCTTGAAGTCTGAATAGATTGATTTCAGAATGAGGTGGGTTTCACGAAAGGGGATATATAGAGAAGAAGGGTTACTAGCTTGGTATGTGATACCCCCCAAAGCTCTTTATTCAATACTATAACTATCTTCATCCGAGCTATCGATCTACACATTTGACATCTCTTCATACGCTCTTGAAATTTTTATGCTTCTCTTCATTGTACCTTTCCTTGGGCTACCCTTTCTAATGCATAACGCATCACCTCCTTCATACTTAACGGTCTCCCACATTCTTTTTCAAAAGTTGTACCCTCTCTTCTAATCCCATCCTGTATAATCTTATCCTGTTGTCTACAGTATTTTTCGAAAAAATCTTTTTTCTCTTTATCTGTACAATTACCATTAGATCTTTTGTATTTTAGTTCCATGTGTTAGGGAATCTTGTCAGGTCGGAATAGCGCGCATATGTAGCTATTCGCTTTCTCACAGTTTCTACGGGAAAATTCACGAAGACGGATTAAACGCTCGTGAATCCTCTGGTCCTAGAAACTACGAAACGAAGAGGTACGGTCAGCAGTGAAATAATATTGTTAATGGGTACAGAAAATCGGTCAGGAGGATTTCAGCATCAGTCCCGTGACACTTAATACAGACATTGCAATGGCAGACTTATATTCCACAAACAAGAACACGTCAGACAAAACGACTTGCCATGTCGTTGTGTATCTGAAATTTCGCCATTTGATTGACCCGGAAATAGATAGGCGACGACATCGGCCATCGCAGCTGCACCGGAAAAGACGACGGACCGGAAAACGATCGAATAAAGCGGCCATTAACTCGTACGTCGAATTGTGATGGAACAAATGTAATGGCGCGATTAGATGCCGGTGATTCGTAAGAACGATCGCTCATTGAGCGAGGCTTGATAGTTTCATAGGCTCGCCCGGGGTATAGGCGTTCCCGGTTGAGTCGTGGCACATGCAAGTTATGCGCTACTTTCAACTGTGTAAGTAGAAAATAGGGCGCAATCACGTAATTCCAAACAATAAATTATATATTGTTCCTTGTATGCATTAGACATTCAACTAACTACTGCTCTGCATGTTTCACAATTCGCAGATCTACAATCGTTTGCTCATTGTCGAATGCTTTCCATATGAAGCGCTGAATCAATAGATGAGACGACAAGATATTGTAAGGAGATAATCCCAAGCAGGTCAAATGACAGGAGAGTGAATTTCCGCAGAGTCGTGTTTATGGTGAGTGGTCATGGGAGAAAGGGTGGAAACGTGTGATAGTTAAATGAGTGGGCCAAGTGTAAGGAATATTAATGGGTTGAATAAATTGAACAGGAACTCTAGTGGGTGGTATTGGAATAATAAACACAATACTAGACAAGAGAAGCATTCAATCACGGTTTGATGAATAGCTTTAAGCTTATCCGATAGCTTGGTCGAAGGAGATGCGCCGAGGGCAAAGCATGGAACAAATTCATCAGTACAATTCATCAGTATGCAGTCCGGCGCCAAATTGGCGTGGCCACCACACCGCACAACAGCGCCAGGCGGCAAGAACCTTATCGGGCCCGACCTACTATATGGTTTACATGCTTGTTTTAAAGGATGGGTTATTTTCTAGCCAAAGAGTATTACCCAAAGAATGTAAAAAGAGGGATTTTTGCCTGTGATTATGTTCTTTTAAATATTGAAACCCTTAATCAAGAGCGGAGAAGTTGATTTAAAATTTGAAACCCGTGATTAGTTTCACTGGCTGATTTTGTTTGTAAATCTTTGATTTCATTTTCTCTTTCTCGGTTCACAATTTCCAACGCTTCTATAACTTTGTTGGCTTTGATTACTTCTTTCTCTCTTTTTTCAATCAAATCATCCATTTTTTTTCAAAGTCTTCAATGGAACTTTCCCTTTAGTTAACTAACCTACTCCTGTACAGATCGAACAAGCACGATCTTAACATCTCCCTAGTTGTGGTATAACGTTACTTGGATTAACTGTAAAGATACAAGTCATAATCCTGAATAGAAATGGAGAACACCGATAACGATAATGATAAATGATAATGGTAAGGTAAATGTCCAAAGCATACAGTATATTTGTTGTTCGAAAAAACATTTTCAGTTACAAAAGTGCACCATAGGTTTTATGGTATTGAAACATAGTAATAGCATAGTCATTCTATGCGCATTCTTATTTGACATGTGTTTCATGATAATGAATTCGATACAAATTGCTCATCTTACAGACTAAATGTGCATTAATAATAATAATGTAAATTTGATAATAAACCAACAGACTGACTAATAAACAATCTACGAATTGACCCAAGACTTGGAAGTCTGCCTGAATGATTACTACACCGAGTGGTAACCCACTCTCAGGTCTGTCAATTAATTGATCCAGGTACAAAGTTTGGATCGTCTCGAAGGATAAGACACTTTTTCAAAACAATTGATTCAGAGAATTTGACTGTGACTCCAATAAGTTAAATAGCGAACACAGCTTGATCTCAACTTTTGTCATTGTAAATTTCTTAAGTTGATTTTGAGACTGAGTTTTTGCAAACAATCATGTTCGAGCGATTGTTCCATGATGAATGTATCTTCAGATTGAACGGAAATTGTTTCCAAGTTTTGCGCTGCCCTAGAAAGTGGGCTGAATATGCTATCTATGCTATCGTCAATCATATCGAGCTCCCTGCGGGAGACAAACTCTTCAATGTCAATCTTCTGCCAGTAGAAACTCTGCGCCGTTCTTCTCGGACGTCATCGTCTTCCGATATAACCTCTCCTCGGTCAGTATGCCTAGCTCCCTAAGAAACTTTTCATGTATGTCCTGTTTGTCTCGCCTATCACAAACCGCTTTCTGAATAACATACTAAACGCGCTGCCATGGTTCCCTTTTATCATACTCGGAGGGACAAGTAGCACGTAACGATTGTCGTAGCCGTATAGCAACTGATTACCTCGGCCTAATGCTTGACATAGCATATCCATTGCCTGACAGATCCGAGCTTGTTTCATTGGCATGGCCATCTGCCAGTCAAGAAATTGAAGGCAGGTAAACGGACGGTGAATGAGACTATCGTAAAACGGAAATTTTTTTTGCATAATTGTGATGTTTATGAGGGAGTTGATGTCTGTAAACATTTAATAAACGTGGTTATCAATTTTTCCGCTGACGTATCGTTTAAACTTCCATTTTAAAAGAGTTGGCCCACAAAGGACTGTCGCACACAATCCCTGCTGACTAAAGCGCAAGAGTATGATGTGGAGGGAATGCCGGGGCCCAAGTCTTATTATTATGCTCTTAGATCAGATGATTACTGCGGTATAGATAATATAGTATGGTGATCATTTCCGAAATTTATAGATGAGTTCACTCTGTGTCTATGTGCTTCACCAAAGTGTTAATACAACAAACCGTTTCTTTACTCCATATTACAGTACATATGACAGTTTGCTATGAACAAGCCCTCTAACAATGACACGGTGCAGTTTATCAAACATGTGACCCAGTCGCTCTCTCCATTGCGCATGCATCGCTTCACAACAATATCTCCTCAGACGTAACAAGCAATTCTTTGCCGCCACTCCGTCACATACGACAGTTTGTACAACTCACGAACACAATTCCTCCAATAAAATATTACTAGCGATTGTTTTGGGTAATATTAACGCGTCAAGTATATCAAATTGTCAATTTTACAAAGTCGCGCTTCTCCTTCGTGTCCTAAACCAAGCTTTCATCTATCAATTAACAATGGCAAGTCAATTCGCATTCTGGGTTTGCTCAAAAACTACAATGTTGCTGCGTGTTTACAGATTATGAAAAAGTATACATAACTGGAGAACGGTTTACTTATGATGAAAACTTTCAACGTATAAAATTTTGTAATACAAAGATGGCCACACTTAACAGTAGGTTTGCCTTTTCTAGTACTTATTGCAAGTGTAAAAAAAGCTCAATCTTCAAATAGAATTAGCAGTGCGCAATACATTCGTCAGTTTATGCATGAATTAGCGTGTGTTGACCTGTGCTGCGATTGGACATTAAAGTAAGGTTTTAACTCTGCAACAATAACACTAACAAAGAATTTGGTTATAAGATGTGATTTGAATATTTGATAGAATTTTTTCCTGCTTCATTATTATTATTATTATGCTTGAACATGTGATCATAAGCATTTAGCGTGTGCCGTAAGCCGTCTGAAATAAAATAAAACGTATACAAGCACAAAATCAGCGTACACTCAACTTATTTGCATTGTGTAATAGAAGACGTACAGTTATTAAAGTGCGTAATTATTTGTTTTTGAAGTTGAGATTGGTGCGAGCTAAAAACCGAAATAATTGAAACAATCAGAATGATGGTTACATCAAAGTAATAATGAGCAGTTCGACGTATTTGACAACCTGACACGCGATTAGGCGTTGAACTTTTGTAAATCTATTTAATCTCTTCATTTTTCTTGTCTGCATGATCAACAGCTCAATTAACTACGATATTTTTACACGGGCTATGTTTTAAGTCAAATCACCCGCGGGTACATAACACACAAAATATTTCCTCGATCGAGAAGAAAAAGAAAGCCTTTTAACAAAATGGCTTTGTAAACCAATTTTTATCTTTTTAATAAAAAAACAAAATTATGTTTATTTAAACATGGATGAATTCACCATTACCGAATTCATCTTGTGCGCGGGGCTTTCGGTTTCTATCAGATGTCACAAAAATTGTGCCACAGTCATTGTCAGCGCCACACAGTTTGTATCAAAACTAAGCTAAATTTCAATAAAGTAATATTAAACAAATAAAGCCAATTTTATACAATATTAATAGCCAAGAACGGCTTATCGCCGACCTCGCGTTTGGTTTTCCCCCCCCAGATTTAACTAATTTATGATGGACATTAGTAATACTTATCAATTTAGTTGAATCGCAGAAATTTACTTTTGACAATGCTTATCACGGACATCATACTTTTTATTATCATGATTCCCAAAACACCATATTAATATGATGGTTTATAAAATGATTCAAAACCTCTTTACTTTTTTTACACGCCTGTAAAATTTGACTAATTACATCAAATTTGTCTTCTTTGTTTATAAACTTATAAATTGCTTATATTATTCGCGCGCGCTAAATGTAAAATTAAACGTTCTCAGAACGTTTCATAGCACGTCCATCTATGGTTTGTTGTTGGCCGACGTCTAGTCTGTGAGAGAGAGAGAAAGATATGATAAATAACAAACAGTTGTAATAAAGCTGTGCTGAAAAGTGGGAAACTCACAAGTTTTAGATTTCTTATTGCCGGTCCAGAATGCTCCAATCAATATCCGCCACCCTCTCAGGGGTAGGCGACCCACTTTAGGAGCATATCGTTGATGTCAATAGACATCACAATGTCTTCAAAATTGTCATGTTGCGCATTACGCGCCTTGGCGTTGATCTCGAAATGCTCACTGCGGCTGTGAGACTCGCTGCACACTTCGGCAAGATAGTTGATTAATTTATGATCGTCATCGTAGGCGGCACTATTAGAATATATGGGTTAGGCTTTGCGACATTATTTTGGTTTAAGCAGATGGTAAAACACGCAAGTAATTATCAATAAAAATTCTTTTCGACCACTTACACATTATGGAATATATGTGACATGGAATATATAAATGCCCGTTTTATATTCTGAGAAACTTCCTGAACAGTTTCCGAGACTAAAATTGTGCAATAGAAGAGTTTGAGTAATCAGTGGTTACGTGCAAACGTAAATTCGCTGACAATGTTCGATAGTACAGGGTACATATAGC